ATTGCTGACCATTGTCCCCACCTCATTCCCATGGAGAGCTCTCTTCTTACCAACTCTCTCTCTTTTGCCCTTGGGGATGCCCCCCATGGGATGGGATGAAGAAGAGACTCTGGAACAAGGCTCTAGTCTCCTCCCACTCATCTTACAATACAGAAGTTTTCATTAGAGGTAGTCTAGATGCTCTATCTACCTCTTTGTTACCAGAACTGTACCCAAGTTAATATTGCTGCACAAAACCTCTAGCAGCTTATTTTTGCCTTCAGGGCATAAAGAAACATTTTGTTTTTGCTTACTACCCCACCAGCACGAGGAGCCGCAAGCGGTGATATTTTTGCACGGCATCTGGCGGCACATCAAAGAATTTGGAATTGAAGGGCAAATTCCTAGAATATCTTTGCCAGTTAAGCTAGAGAAAAGGTGTTAAAAAACCTCAGGATCCTAAACAACACGTCAATCAAAATATCACTTGGACCTTTTCGCTAATGAAGAGCTATCACGCGGCTAAGCTTGAATTAGACATATATTGAAATAGGAACTCGTGTCAATAAAGTACTCAGAAGTGAGTGGCAATCGCTCCTGGTTAAAAAAACTGGTTCACAGGGATATGCATCTCTTCTAGTTAAGAGAAAGGAATCAGAGCTGCTTTTCATGCAGGAACCGGTTTTCTCCCCGCTAACTACAAAACTTCAGCTTAGTTTACTCCTTGACATTGTCAAAGCGCATTTTGTAAAGATAACTTTTTCCGCTTTATCAGCTTTTTTTATATTCTATTCCATCAATGTTCGACCTCCCTCAAAAAGCCAAATAATTTAAATGCTGTTGTTAAAAAAAGCGTTTTACCTGTTTTCGTGAATTCGCTACCCAAAGATCACTATGCTCAAAGGACAGGGCAAAATTTCAAGGAGAGAGGCATTAATTTTTTTTCCCCATGAAATTAAAAAGAGAAAATGCAATGATTATTATTAATGTAACCATCAGGTATACTCTACCCACGAGGTTACGGACAGCAAATGCAGTGACTATTATTAATGTAACCATCAGGTATGTTCTACCCACGAGGTTTCAAAGAGAAAGTGCAATGATTATTATTAACGTAACCTTCAGGTATGTTCTACCCACGAGGTTACAGAGAGCAAATGCAGTGATTATTATTAATGTAACCATCAGGTATGTTCTACCCACGAGGTTACAAAGAGAAAGTGCAATGATTATTATCAACGTAACCTTCAGGTA